TGTTCACAGGCTACTTATCAGAATTATGGGAATATTCGGCCTGATATTTTTTTAATAAGTTAAATTTTTTTTATTTATCCCTTAAAAAACTAAAGAAATGCACGTAAATACATTTAGATTTGCATTTGAGTACTGAAATTAGCATGTAAGCTAACAAATCACTCATGTTCTCATTCACAATAGAGACACAGGGTTTCTCATACAACGATTTATTTGTAGTAATGTTGGAGTTTTCACATGAACGTGTATTTAAAGGCGAGCAGTTGTCTATAGAAAGTTTAATTGTCTTCATGAAGAAAACTTGTTTCTTTTCTGAGATAAGTCCATCAAAATAAATGTGTTGTGTTTTGAAACCAAAGTCTTCATTTCTTACCCACAACACATCAAGATTTGATCAAGTCAAAATCTCATAATCTAAAACAAATCTCATCTGTCGTAACTGACAAATGGCATTGTGTAGTCTAAACAGGGCTTTAGGGAGTCTAAAAGATAACGACGAAGATAACAGAGGTAAGAATCTCTTGTCCTTTATAGGGAGTTAGGAATCATCTGATTGGTGAATCATGTTTTAGCTAATGCTGGACCAGTCGTCAACAATAATAAGCATGTGAGCCTCTCGAAAGTAGTTTATAAATAAACTTCATGTCAATGAACAGCCAAACTACATGAAAAAGCTGCCGTTTTCAATATACTCGTGTTTGTGTGGAGAAGGTCTCAATGTTGAGGACTTTGCTCTGCATTGTGAAGCTTCATGTGAGCGCTGAGGTTTATTTTTTGTTTAAAGCTCTTTCCACACTCACGGCATCTAAAACGATCCTCTCTTGAGTGAGTCTTCATGTGTTGCTTAATGTAGTCTTTGCGTGTGAGACTCTTTCCACACTGATCACATATGAACACTATGGTTCCAGTGTGACCATCCATGTGGTTCATGAGGTTAGCTTTACATGTGAAGCTCTTTCCACACTGATTACATGCAAACAGCTTCTCTCTGGTGTGAGTTTTCATGTGGTTAATGAGTGAGCTTTTACATGTGAAACTTTTACCACACTCTGTGCATGTGTAAGGTTTCTCTCCAGTGTGGATCGTCATGTGGGTGTCAAGCTTTTGTTTTTGAGCAAAACTTTTCCCACACTGTGTTTTTCCTCCATTGTGAATTCTCATGTGGCCTTTAAGGGTGCCACTTTGCTTAAAACTCTTTCCACACTGTTGGCATGTGTAGGGCTTTTCTCTAGTGTGAATTCTCTTGTGCGCTGCAAAGTTTCCTGCATAATAGAAGCTTTGTCCACACTGTTGGCATGTGTACGGCCTCTCTCCAGTGTGACTTCTCATGTGGCCTTTAAGGGTGGCACTTTGCTTAAAACTCTTTCCACATTGTTGGCATGTGTACGGCCTCTCTCCGGTGTGTATTCTCATGTGGCCTTTAAGGGTGCCAATTTGCTTAAAACTCTTTCCACACTGTTGGCATGTGTACGGCCTCTCTCCAGTGTGAATTCTCATGTGGGTCTTTAAGCTTCTCTTTTTACCAAAACTCTTTCCACACTGTTCGCAAGTGTAAGGTTTCTCCCTAGTGTGAACTCTCATGTGATCACCAAGGTTACGCTTTTGAATGAAACTCTTTCTACGCTGTTTACTGCTAAAATTACACTCAGTTTTGGATTTCCGAGGTCGTCCGAGTGATGAAGTCTTTTCAGTCAGTGTGGGTTTTTCATCAGCTGTTATTTCTTGGTGTGGCTCTTCCATTTTATTCCAGTGTTGAGTCTCTTCTTTCAGCACTATCAGGTCTAAAAAAGAAAAAAGAAAAGTGAACTTTAGTATGAAGGCACAAAGCGACAAGCATGAAATGGATCTTTCACCCAAAAATTAAAATGACCTCACCATTTACTCTGCGTCTTTTAAATATTTCCTTTCTTCTGGAACACAAAGTAAGCCAGCATGTTTTTCACAATATCTTCTTTTGTGTTCAGCAGAATCAAGAAACTCAAAGATTTAAAGCCACACGAGGAAGAGTAAATGGTGAGGCTATTTTTTCATTTCTGCGTTAACTATCCCTTTAAAGGGTTCATATTATGAACCTTTTTTACAGGATGTAAAGTAAGTCTTTAATGTTTCCAGAATGGGTCTGGGGTTTCAGCTCAAAATCAGATCATAAACCTTGCAGAATATTTCATTTTGGGGGTCAGAGGAAAACCCAGCTCTTTTTGTGCCTGTGGCTTTAAATGCAAATGATCAAATGCACTCGGTCTAGATTACTCCTGTTGTGTTCCCTCATGTGTATCTTCCACTCAACATTTTTAACTTGCTTGGAAGACCTGGTTGAGACAAATCCTGCATGTTCATAGCAATTACGTATAATTCAGCTTATATTTGTGAGTTTGCATTATTGTATATAACTTATGCAAATGTTTCCCTCTACTGGGTTGCAGCTGGAAGGGCATCCGCTGTTTAAAACATATGCTGGATAAGAATTTAATTGATTGTAGTAAAGTGGTGATCATTATTTGTTTCCTCCCTCCTTTGCAGTCAGCAGTTCGTTTCACTGCGTTACAACACTACGTTTAACCCAACAGTTATGTATAGGACTTATTAATAATTGATTGAGCCCGTTTTCCTCTGTGTTGGCGTTCTGATGCTCTTGATTAGGCGAAATTGAGTGTTGCGGTAAGTGATTTTAAAATCTTGGGATTAGCTTGCTCATGCACTCAAACTAACTTAAATCCCCTTACCATTTTACAGACCGAAAATGAGTGCTGGGTGCCGTATGACAACCTATAGCTACGTGGGAGGTTTCTAAACGACGCTGCTGCTTAGCCGCGGTTTAACTGCTGCTTAACCGCGGCTTAACTGCTGCTTAACTGCTGTTTAACTGCTGCTTTGATGCTGTTTAAGTATTTTTGGGGATGATGCTGTTTTAATGTAGTAAACATCAGTTTCCCTACACATTCAGTGCTAGGACCGTAAATTTGAAGGTTGTGGTTGACCGATTTGAATGGTCCTTGTGTTCTTTTTTTTCTTTTATTTGGGTAATTTCGCCTAGTTTTGTTAGATATATATTTATTTTTTACTTTTGTGTTAGTTTCCTTGAAATTAGTCTTTTCTAATGTGATTTCTTTCTGTTACATTGTTTTTTGTATGCTTTATTGAAATTGTATTTGTTTTTTTGTAACAGTCTTCGTGTATGTATATTCAAGACTGTTTAACTCTTTTGTGTCTTCCTCTTATATTTTGTATTTTTGGGTTGCTTCTTCAGCAGAGGGTTCATTAAGAGGGGTTGTAATCCATTAGCATTGTAGTATGTTGTGCACCCAAGTGATTGTGTGTTAGAGTGTCAGTGACCAGTTTATTAAAACTTTGTAGTAACTGGATTTTGTGTTTTCAGGAGCAGAGCACCTAAGGCAGGGTGGATTCCTGGTGGAGGTCTTTCTTGCACGTGTGCTGTGTGTATGCACTGTGTGTGTGTGTGTGTCACAGGTCTTGGTGGTATTGCTGTGGAGGCCTTGTTGTGCCCTTATTCTCTGCTGTCACGTCTCAGCTCCTGCACTCCTAAATCCAGGTGTTTTAGTGTGTGCGTGTAGTGTATTTTTAATAGATGGGTTTTATTGAATTTAAACAGTATATACATTGTCCCCCTTTTTGATGCAATTTTGAAAAAAAATAAAGTTTGTATGTATTTTTTCCAATCCACGTCTCTTGCCATTTACTGCAAGCTTACCTGTGTTGCCTTTTATAATATAAAATATAGGTCCCTGGCCATATTCCAGGGTGGCGTAGTCGTGCTAGCTGTTGAACATTATTGAACCCCTTGGTTATGCCACATGTAGCTATGGAGGTAATAAAATCTGCCTTGTGAACAGCAGATTGACAATTTCAGAGGCACACGGAGAGAGAGTTGGGAAATAGCAGATACATGTATTGAACGAAGGTTGTGATAATTATGCCTGCAGCATACCTCCCGTGCTTTGCGAGTGTTAGTAACAACAGGAATTAGTTAACACATAATAAAAGTGCAATGAAAACAATAATAAGTGCAAAGATTAAGTAAAATAAATAAATAAAGTACTCAGGTGCTTTGTCGGTGTCTTTGCTCGGTGGAGTCGCACAGGTAGAGTCAATGGTCTTTACACTCGTCGGTCTTCACACGCAGTGAGACTAGCTGCTTATATACACCCCTGAGCGCTTGCTGATAGAATTCAGCTTGACATGCCTCAAGAGTTCCCACAATACAACAACAGAAACTGAGCCGAGGGGTGCAAAACCGACCGTGATCCACACACAAGCTCTTACAGTAACCAAGGAAACTTTGAGTAATCTTTCTAGCACTACACACAAACAACTGAAAACAAGTCTAAATGTACTTACACGCTGCTGGTCTCATTGCCAAAGTGCTTCTCCTTATGAGGTTGAACAAGCCATCCTACTTCCCTTACTTACTTACATTGTCTATCCATCCATCTATTTATTCATTTTGTTTAGTAAATGTGTTATTTTTGAGGCTGACCTCAAAAAAATATAATAATTTTACTGCCAGAATTTTAGGTGCAGGCTAGGACTGTCTCTGCCAATGGCAGATAACGTTGTTTTTTTGGCTTCATAGGACATGGACCTTCAGCATGCAGTGGGACGGTTTGCTGCTGAGTGTGACATGGCAGGGAAATAAACAGCACCTCTAAGTCAGAAACCATGGTGCTTGACTGGTAAAAAGGGGGCCATCTTTAGTTTGGAGAGTATCTGCGTTTTTTTTTTTTTCATGAAAAATGGAATGTGAGATTAAAAGATGGATCAGTGGAGGAGTAGCAGTAATGCATTTGATGTGATTGTCTGTTGTGGTGATGTAGCTGAGATGAAAGGCAATGTTCTAAATTTACCACTCAATCTAGGTTCCTACTCACATCTATGGTTATGACTAAAAGGACAAGATCTCGGTAACAACCGGACACATTTTGCAAAATGTTATGACCTGCTTGTTTGAGTTGCACCATAAAAGTGAGATGAGACAACAAAATAGCCTGAATGCAAATGATTTATTATAAAATGTAACTCAGAACAATCAATCAAAGCAACCAACAAATTTCTAGGCATAATAATGAAGATAAAGAACTTATGATATAATCACAACAACACTTTAACTACATAATATAAGTAATGCAAACCAAAACCATAAAGTTAAAGAGTCAATGAGATGGCAGGTCTTGACATGTGGACTCCTGAGTAGCCACAGCGTCCAGGGGTAGCTAGCACAACAACTTTTATATACCCATTGATGAGTAATGCAGGCATCCAATCAGGATTCACCACATATTCCAATCTGGAGTCTTGGGATTATCACAGTGTATTAATATTGTAAAACTAAATACTTGTCGCTCTGCCAAAATCATCAAATATTCATCAAGTTTGTATTCTACTCAAAACAGTAAATGTAGTAAACTAGAAAGAATTTTGAATCTAAAAGTAAAGAAACTTTACTAATAAATAGATGATTTGTTTCTCATTCAGGGAGTCAGACAAAGAACATCATCGAAAACAACACTAGCTACATGAATACACTGAAGAGTAGAGTACAGATGTATCCGCACCTGTACAATCACTTGCAAAAAGATTTTAAGCAGCAGAGATGCTGTTTACCAGATGTTTATGAAACTGTTCTTCTCTCAGTTGCCATCATTGTGTTTACAGTAAACGCAAGGAGCGCAACACATTTCTACAAAATTTTCACAGAGGCACAACAAACACACAGACGCAGGGGAGAAAGACAGTGACTGTTTACATGGACATCAGTAACTGACTGTTTAATGACAGTGGAATGTTTGATATCGCACATTGTATAAGAGAAAAAAAAACTGCATTTCTCGGTAACTGAGATGCACTCAGTATGTCAGAAAGCCATGTGCTTGTGTAGACTATCCTGTCAAAAAACGCGTTTACATGTTTACACACAGAGAGCAACATTTACAGCAGATCCTTCAGTCCATAATATTGTAGTGATATTAACGAACTGACTTTAAACAATTCCTCTTCTCCCACTTGTTTTGGCAACCCAACTAGTCGTCTCTCTGTCGTCTGAACACTGTTTCAGGTAAAGCAGTCTTTAAAGCTATTATACATATTAATGAAGTTGCCCCGAATACACAATAGAGCGCACTGATTGGTTTGAACAAAGTCTTTCTCATGAATAAATGCAGTACACTCAGAGACGTCATGAAATACTCCCAGGTACAGACAGACAGTCTACATGCTGGAATACACGCAAGGAAGTGTATGGGTAGAAAAGTCCAGTGTGACCACGGCTTAAGTGCATGTGAATGGTTTCTTTCCAGTGTGGATCCTCATGTGTTGATTAAGGTATGATGAACGGCTGAAACTCTTCCCACACTGAGTGCATGTGAATGGTTTCTCTCCAGTGTGGATCCTCATGTGTTGATTAAGGTATGATGAGCGGCTGAAACTCTTCCAACACTGAGTGCATGTGAATGGTTTCTCTCCAGAGTGGATTCTCGTGTGGTGTTTAAGGTGTGATGATTGGCTGAAACTCTTTCCACACTGAGTGCATTTGAATGGTTTCTCTCCAGTGTGGATCATCATGTGTAGAAAAAAGTTTGATGATTTGCTGAAACTCTTCCCACACTGAAGGCATGTGAATGGTTTCTCTCCAGTGTGGATCCTCATGTGTTGATTAAGGGATGATGAGCAGCTCAAACTCTTCCCACACTGAGTGCATGTGAATAGTTTCTCTCCAGTGTGGACCCTCATGTGGTAATTAAAGTGTGATGAGCTGCTGAAACTCTTCCCACACTGAGTGCATGTGAATAGTTTCTCTCCAGTGTGGATCCTCATGTGTAGATTACGGGACCACGATAAGCTGAAACTCTTTCCACACTGGGTGCATGTGAATGGTTTCTCTCCAGTGTGGATCCTCATGTGAATCTTAAGAATGTATTTTCTTCCAAAACTCTTTCCACACTGAGTGCAGGTGAAACGATTCTTGTCTCTCCTTTTTAAAATACCATCAGTCTGTAAAAAAGTTTTTTCCTCAATTTTGACATGATGTTCCTCCTGTTTACTCCCCTCGTTTTCTTCAATTAGGTCTGAAATTAAAAAAAATAAAACATTAGTTTTCATTAAGTCTTTTCATTAAGTCTTAAAGGGCACCTAGGTTACCCCTTTTTTTCAGATTTAATACAAGTCTTTTGCGTCTCTAGAATGTGTATATAAAGTTTCAGATCAAAATACCCATCAGATTTTTCATTATACCTTTTACAAGATGCTGTTTTATACTGATTTCCAGCAGGGGGTGGTTTTGTCGTACTGCGCCTTTAAGCCAAGTTCTGCCCGCCCACTGTTTCTACATGCCTCCTCCCTCAGCTGCGTCAGACAACAGACAGACTTAAAGGAAGAAGGTCTCACGTAGCGTTTGTGAGATACTACAGTAAGAACTAACCTTTACTAATCGGTATTGTGAAGTTGCATTGATGAGTCACACACACAATATCGTTACAAAGTTAACGCGCGTGCGCGCACACACACACACACACACACACACACACACACACACACAGATACACACGCAGGCAGGCAGACAGACAGACAGAGCGCTCTTAGCTTAGTTAAGGCTAACCTCAAGTACTGTGTGGATATCTGTTATGCTAATGTACAAAATAAACCTGATTTAACTTCCACAAACCGGGATTGAAGCGTCTTCTTTTATAATTGTTCTGACACGCGGCTGTGCTGATGAAGTAAAGCTGAAGTAAAACGCTGTAATTAATTACACACATACTCTGTTTTAAAACACTTTAAACATGTGAAACTTACTCTTAATCACATTTGATGATGATTGCTGATCCTAGCGAACAGAACAGACCTTTTATTACCGGTTGCTTTGCGTATGTCTGCCTGGTCTTGTTGACATATACACGACTACCGGAACATGTTAATGCGCGCAGCTGTCAATCAATTCGGTTGGCGGGGGAATCGCACACCTACGTAATGGTGCGATCAATTTGAAAACAGCTCCAATTGGCCGACCCTTTTTTTGTAGCTAAATTGAAAAAAAAGTACTGGGTGTGTTCATATCACCCCAGTATGACGGTCTATACACTATACCAACACACAGATCTGTCCAAACAGCTTGAAAAGTAGATTTTTTACCATAGGTGCCCTGTAAGTCATCCTTATTTATCTAGTGCTTTTACAATGTAAATTGTGTCAAAGCCACTTAACATAGTAGTTAAAGTAAATTTAAACTGTCAGTCCAGTTTTCAGAGTTTCTTACATAATTGATCATAAAAGTCATTTTGGTCATATTGATCAGACAGAGATATGAAAGCTGTAAATGGCCTATTTTTATTCCTATATATTCACAATTACAACAAAATGTTTTTCTAAAATGTGTAAAGCAGACAGGGAATACTTGTATATTCTGTGCCTGACTGGTAAACACACCAGAAAAAAAAGTTATTGGGTAACAGCTGAACAAACAGCTGAATTTTTGCCTTGCAGACATGAGACATGCCTGTCAGCATCTGCATAAAGCAGGGGTTCTCAACCTTTTGCAAGCTGGGCCCCCCCAAAGCCGGTTTATTGCAGCTAGGGCCCCAGTGACTCAGAGAGGGTACAAGGACCTTAAATTTTTGAGGCTTGCTTAGCTTCTCGAAGAGAAATCAAACAAATGAGCGCTTTCTAAATTCTATGGGCACAGCACACACAAATAAACTAAATTGACATACTGCAGTTATATTTTGAAATGTGTTTTTTTTATATATTTATAACATTTGAATACAGTTCAGCAACATACATCACACAACCTGACGACAAAGGGAGCTGACAATTGAACATCACTAAATTTACCATCATCTTAAGATTGAAAATTTTACACTGACTTCATACAGGGTTTATACAGACACAGCCTAATGAAAATCAAAGACTTTTAGGCACTTTTTCCAGCATCTACTTTTATTGTTGAAACTGACATGCAATGTATTGAACACCTGAAATGTATTTTCAGCAACCCATAAAAACATTGCATAGGAACTATTAGCAAATTATTGTTATAGTTAAATAAATGAGGTAGCCTTCCCAGTATAAAATAACAGTAGCAGACCTAACTTTATAGCTACAGCTCAGCAGAGTCAGCACAGGTATAAAAACAGGTGGTTTTATTTCTGATGAGAATATTTATTGTTGTCAGACTTCACTCTCACATAAATACACATAAATAAATCAATCAAAACTCACAGCTAATCAGGATAGCCTGTGCGTGTAGGGGGAGAGTCAGAGGAGGGGAAGGTCCGTAAAAATTAGCATAAAAAAGGGAGTGTCAGTTTTGGGCACGTGCTGATTTTCACAGAGGCAAAACAAACACACAGACGCAGAGGAGAAAGTCAGTGACTGTGTTTACATGGACATCAGTAATCGAATTATTTGCCAAATTATTAAATGGTGGATTTTAATTGCAGTTTGGCTCTTTCATTCAGGAATTTCATTCGTGCCCGGTGACAAACGAGATATTTGATTCGAGGAATTGCTGGAAGCGTGTATCTTTCATGCAATGTATGTTGCAAAAAAAAAAATCCTTCACATTTCTCTGTAACTTAGATGCACTTGGTAGGTAGTGTCAGAAAGCCATGTATGTTATTCCTGTCACAAAATGTGGGTGTAAGTTTAATTGTGGTGCTATCATGTTTACACTCGGGAGAGCAGCATCATTTATCGTACGGTAAACTTTATTAACTTAGAAACCATTTGACTAAGGTCTGTCTTTAAACACTGAAAGAGTACTGCTGACGAACTAACATTGCCTCTGAATAAACAAACAAAAACCACTGGTCGCTCACTTAACACATACTGGAGCTCTGTCTTTTATTAAAGGAGACGAGCAGCAAATCTGGATTTCACCATTTTCAGATGAGAAAAGCTCTCGGGTAAAAAATGTTCCTTAGACACACGTTTCTGTCACGCGTTGCGTGCAGCATAATCCACACGTGAGTCCAGCTACGCTATCATAGAGGGAAAATAAAAACAAAACCTTCACTGCAGCAAATTATGAAACGCAACACTGACGACCCGAATCTCCAAATATTTCTTGTTCTCCCACTTGGCAACACAACGTGGCGTCTCTCTGCCGTCTGAACACTGTACAGGTACAAACAGTCTTCGAAGATATCATGCACATTAATTAGGTTGCACCGCATACACAATAGAGCGCGTTGATTGGTTTCAACCAAGTCTTACTCATGAATGAATGCAGCACACTCAGAGACGTCATAAGGTACTTCCAGGTAGATGTTCAGTCTGCACGCTGGAATACATGCTAAGATCTCATGGCCGTGACGGAGCTTAAAAATTCATTTTAAACCGGAAGTACGAATTTGCTCAAAATAACGCAAAAACAACCAATTTTCACTTTTTAGTGAAATATGTGTGCCCTAATAGTGTTTTTAGCAGTGTGGGACACATATACGACTGTCAACAACTCAAAAAATGTGTTTTGTTGTTTCGTGACCCTTTAATGTCAGAAGTAGAGTATGGTGGTATTGTTATTTTGGACCATTGTCCAGTCTCACTAAAACTATGTTTTCCAGGCAATGTAATCCCCCAATGTACATGGCGGTTTAACTCAAGACGATTGGCAGATGACGATTTTGTAAAATTTATTGATGCTCAAATAGATTTCTACTTTGAGACAAACGAATCCCCAGAGATAAGTTAAAGCATCCTATTGGATACTCTGAAAGCATATATAAGAGGACAGATTATTTCAGATCAACGTAGTGCAAATAAAACAATGTCAAAACGGCTTACAGAGATTATGAATAAAATACAATGGATCAGCTACACTCAACATCACCTTCTGAATAGCTCCATAAACTTCTTCTGCAAGTGGAATATGACTCCTTGACAAGTGAAAAGGCGTTATGAACTAGCTGGCAGGTTATTGTGTTACCAACTGAAATGATCCTCAGCAGTTGGTTTTATAGGTGCAGCTCTGAGGTAAACAAAACTGAAAGTAATGAGGGTTTTTACTTTAATTTTTTGGAATTACCATCTGTGATTCAGATCAGTTGGCATCAGAAGGAAAATAACACCTTCTGAAATTGAAAATGCAATCCAAAAAATGAACACCAGAAAATTGAAAACTCAATCTGGCCCTGGTGGCTTCCCAGCTGAGCTTTATAAGAAGTTTACTGTCACGCTTACACCCCTGTTGTGCAAGGTATTTGCTGAAGCTCTTGTCTCGGAATCACTCATCCTCTTTATGACATCGGCTGCTATAACAGTACTTCTTAAAAGGTAAAATGATTTATTTAAATGTGAATCTTATCGTCCGATCAACTTAATCTGCTGTGATTATAAGATCCCGGGGTGTTTCTAGAAAACCTAGTAAGAGCTTGTTTGTCAAGCCAAGATGTGTCTGATTGCCGTCGGAACTAAACTTTGCAGGACACCGGACCTCCATGACTGAGTTTGGACATGCCTGCTCTAGGGGAACGAGACAGGGCTACCCTCTGTCCCCTCTGCTTTTTGACATTGCCCTTTAACCTCTTGCAATCATAAAGAACTCAGATAGCTTGCAAAGAGTTTTCAGAGAGGGACAAGAACATAAGTTCCTGCTATATGCTGATGATCTTCTTTTTATGTCAAATCCAGATACATGTATTTCAAAAGCTCTTACAATAATTTCAGAACTGGCAAATGTTTCTGGATACATAGTCAATCTAGCCAAGTGTCTCCTTTTCCCTATCAATGATAGAGCACAGCAAATGTCCTTCCAATCCTTTCCATTTTCAGCAAGTCCTGATAAATTTGTATATCTGGGTGTGAGTGTGACACGCAAATATAAGGATTTGTTCAATAATAATTTTAAAACAACATTAGACAAAGCCAAATGAGACATGGCATGGTGGTCAATCCTTACTTTATCTTTG